TTCATTAGGAAGAATATCAGAAGATAAGTTTGGTGATTTTCTTAATAATATTATTTGTTCTTGAATATTGCTACTTTTAATTTCTAATAATGATTTTTGCATATTATATCTTTCTAGATATGAATGTAGATTAAGAGCACCTTTAATTGATGAATAGCAAAATTCTGTTTGAATTGAGGTAAAGTTTTGCATTATTATAGTTTTTAAAATCTCAGCAATTTCATTATAGTAAATAGTTTTAGGTATATCTGAATTTGGATCAAAAAAAGGAAGGCCTGCTTCTAATGGTCGAAACTTATTATATAACTCTGCAACTTTTAGCTTATTTCCTTTAAGAGCTTTATTTTCAAATGCTTCATACTCCATTAAAAAGCCTAGCGGACTTGCTAGACCAACCATAGCATCTTTAAGATCTACCTGTACAAATTTGGGCCATTGAATATTATTAGTTATTTCTTTAATATACGTATGACTAACCAGTTTCAAAGTTGTAGTTCTTTCTTTATTTTTAAGTACTGCTCTACGTTTTTCTGAATAAATTTTAATTTTTTCGATACTAGAATCACAAGCAATTGCACTTAATATTAAGCAATTGCTAATGATGTTAGTATAAATTCCTTGAGTTTTAGGATGCTTTGAATGTTGACTTTTAATTATTTTTTTAGATGTCGATTTTGTTATACCTAAAATATAAAAAAAAATTTAGCAAATAAAACAAACAAGTAATTAATTACTAATATAGTAATAGACATATACTACTTTTTAACTTCATTATATCTATCATCTTCTTCATCTTTATCATATTCATCACCTTTATCATTATCGCTATTTAGTTCTTTATATATATCACTACCCTTTTTATTATATTTTATAATTAAAAAATCTTATTAGTAATTTATTTATAAACATATACTTAAACATTTTTACTTAATTATAATACCTTTGCTCGTATAAAACATATGTAATTTTTCATATTAAACTTTGAAAATTTTATCATCTTCGTGAGGATCCGAGCTTACTTCAAGTAACTTGTCAATCTCGCCAGATAGTTTGCTCGCGAAGTTGAGATCTTCGCTGAATCCCAACTTTCGGAAGCAAAACTGGCGTATACTATCATCGGCATATGAAATTTCGATTTCATTTGCTAAAAACCGAACACATTTAATATGGTTGTTCACATTGAATAATCTTGCTAAATATAATAAGCGTATTAAGTTGTTGTTAATGAATTCTAAAAATAAAATAAATTAAATAAAAATTAATTAATAAAATTAGTATAAATGAGTAAAACAATTCTTAAATCAAAACTCTTTCCAATGATTACTGTAACCAAAACTGGAGCAGAACCAAAGTGCAAGAAAAGCCACAATGGTACTAGATAAACTTGCAGTGAGTGATTAAAATAGAATATTAGTTGTTGTAAGAGGAAGATTTTTTCTTAAGACACTAGACCCCAGTAAAAAATAAATAGGCTAGTTTTTTTGAAAAAGGTTTTTTGGCAAAGAAATTTTTGAAAAAACGGAAAAATTGGCTAGACTCCAAATGCAGATCTCTACTTGTGACATGTAAACAAACAACAACATGACGAGTTTACGAATTAGGTTATTTAATATAAACAAATAAACAAATAAGCAGACACGTAAACAAACAACAACGTGACAAGTTTACGAATTAGGTTATTTAATATAAACAAATAAACAAAGAAGCAAACATGTAAACAAACAAATCAAGAATAGAAGTCTAGATTGTTATGCAGGAACCAGTAGCACAAAATGGCCCGGGGACATCAGAAATATCGAAGAGTTATGCAAAGCTTGAGAAATATCGAGGCATGTTTAAAAGATCAGTAAATGAACAGAATTTGATAATAGAAAATTATAAACCCAACATCTTGCGTAAAGATAACAGCACTTGTTGGTAGAGAACTAGAAACAGTGTGTATGTTCTGAAATATAATTGAGCTTTACAACTATTGTGAGTATCTGCGAGCTAGAGAAAGCGAACTAGTCAGTCAAGATAAAAGTATAGTTTCTGAATTAAAGAAACAGGATATTAAAAGTTTAATAGATCACGAAGTTGGATGTATTGATTATGGTATTAAAAAGATCCAGTTCAACAAGAAGTCTGGATGTGTAGTTAAAGAAGATAGTAAGCAAGTAAATATACTTGAAGAAGCAGTTGTTGTAACTCCAGAGAAGAGTAAAAGAAAAAATGAAGATCTTAGTGGAAATAAGAGTAAAAGAGCCAAATCAAACTACGATAGATTAGCAAAAGCTTTGGAAAAGCATAATGAGATGGTAGTTGATAAACAAGATCCATTACTACAAAAAGAAAGTGTAGTTGGAGAAGAGAACATTAAAAATAGTGAGGTGCAAGTCAACATATACCAGGATATAGTGGTGGTAAAGCTGATGTATATAATAGGAGTACCAATCGAACCGGAAGTTAGTAAAGAAATTAGTGGATCAATGAATAGTTAGCCAGTAGAACATCACGTGAATCTAGCACAGTTTGAGACTCATACAATATAGAATATACCTCTCAAAGTACACCCTGCACAAGTACGCAGATGCCTTCATTTCTATGGTAAAACAAAATTCGTATAGTGGAAACCATGCGGCAAGAGTAAAGCACTTGAATTCTTAATTAAATTTTGGAGTGAAAAGAGAATGAGAGATTTTAAGAAGGCATGGGCAATTCATTTCGAGGATGGGAAGACATACAGGGTGACACCTGGTAGTTTTGAAAGAAGAATACTTGAAAAAAGAGCATCGTTTAAGGTAGTAGTTAAGAATGTTCTAACATCAGCAGTTGAAATGTTGCTCTTGCGTCAGTTGAGGGTAGAAAATGCAAAGGCAGTGTATATTTCATATAATAGAAATCAGAATCAGCAACGTATAGCATCAGTGTATTTTGGATTATGTGATGAATTAAAAGCAGCATTAGCAAGAGAGGTGTATTATTTCGACATCAAGCTGGAGTGGATTGATGTATGGAATAAAAGTAAAAGAGATGTAGTTGAAGAAGAGATGAGTGAAAACACGGTTAAGCCTCAAGATATCAAGATAACTATGAGTAGAGGTGGAAAATGGAAAAAATAGCAAACAGCAGAGAGGGTATTTAAGAGCAGTGTGGAGAGCAATAAAGAAAACAGCGACCCCAAGATTGAAGGATCAACAAAGGCAAAAGTGAAATGAGCCAAAGAGTTAAAAGAAGAGGGTGATCTTGAATCCAAGTTTAAAAATATCTTTGATAAAATACTTGGTAGGCTCGACAGAATCAAAAAAAGATATTTGGTGGCCTCAGGCCCCAATCATTCCTAAGGTGCCTCAGGAATGTCTAAGAGAACTGAGAGGCTACAAGATAATTTGTATGCTTAGCAAGGTAGCACCCTCAGTAATATTATGGGCAATAGAACAGAAAGGATAAAGGAGTGTTGGGCCAGCATAGCATGCCACAACATTAATGGTATAAGAGGCAACAAAATTAAACTGAAGCCAATTGCAGAGTAGGCAATCGAAAATGAAGTTGATTTATTAGGTTTAGTTGAGACAAATTCGAGTAAAAGAGATTTAAGGTTTAGTTTGAATGAGATGAACATTAAGGGTTTTTGGTCTCAATATGAAATAACAAAAAGAAAAGGTTCAGGCATTGGTTTACTAGTTGGTCCAAGATGTGAAAAACATTTAGAACAGGTTTTTAAGTTTGAGGAGTATATGATTGAGGCCCGGTTTTACTTTAAACAAACAGTAGTAGTAGTTATAGTAGTCTATTTGCCACCAAGCAATAAGGCATTGATTAATAGAGTTCAACAAAAGATTATAACAAGCTTTATGCAAAGAACAAGCAATATGCAATTTGTGATAATAGGTGATTTTAATCATGTGGTAGATAGAGAGTTAGATAAGTGTAATAATGAGATTAGTTCAGGATTCAAGGTGCTCCCTTTATATAATGGTTTAATAATCAAGGCTTCATTGATACGTTTAGAATAGTTAATCCAAAAATGATGAAGTACTCTTGGTCTAGTCAAGGGGTTGAGACGAGAATTGATCAGATTTGGGTATCTGAGGATTTAAAGTATAGAATATTAGTAGCTAATATTGTGGAGGCAGATACAATAACAGCAAGTGATCATGCAATAGTAATAGCTAGTATTACAATAAAGTATGTAGTTCGGTTGTGTAGCGCAGCAGCCAAAAAAAAAAAAAAATTTCAAGGAATATCTATCTGTATGACGAAGCAACAAAAGAAGATTGAAAACAGTACCAAGAAGATCTGGTGAAGCTAACTGTAAATAATCGAGCACTTACAAGGTGTTGGGCTTTGACTACATCTGACAAACTCAATTTAATTTGAAACATTATAGCAGGTGCAATTCGAAGAGTAGCAGATAAAAATATTCTGAAAAAGAAAGTACCTAGTAGTTCGAACAATAGAACAAAAAAGTGCAAGCCAACCAAGTTGCACAAGAGCACAGTCAAACTAGCTAAAATAATCCAGATAGTTAAAAAAACTACAACTCATAGGAATCAGTCGATTAATATTGAGACGTTTAGTAAAGAGATCGAGCAAATTAATATTATGTATCAAGTAGATATATCTTTGCTAAGTTGCAAAACATATGAAAAAGAAGCACTACATAAGTGAGCATGTCATGCAAAAGTGTGTTGAAAAGCAATGCAGGTACAAAAAAAAGTCGAAATGGATAAAGCTATGCATAAGAAAATCGAAGCAGTGATAACTCGGAGATATGAAAGAATTGATAGTGAAGTTGGTTTAATGTTAGCAAGTATTTTAGACAAGCTATTCAGAAAGATTAGAATAGATTGAGTTTTAGAAAAAGAAAATAGAAAGTGGATGATGTATAATGAAACAAATAAAGTACTTTTGAAAACATCAGCTCATTTTTAAAAGCAGTTCAAAAAGAGAGAAGTGTGTGAGGACAAAGAAGTGCTTGAAGAATTCTATACACTACTCGAGGATGTAAAAGAGAAGTGTTATGCCGAGCTTAAAAACGAAATCACACTTGAAGAATGGTTAGTAGCAATAGGAAAACCAAAAATAAAACCACACCTGGGGTTACTGGAATTGAATACACATTAATCAAGAATACTAGTATTGAAGTTCACAAAATATTTAGAAGATTTGCAAGTTTGTGCTTGGCAGAAAGTAGAATTCCAGATAAATGAAAGCTAGTAAAGTATACTCAATTCCAAAAGACAAAAACTAGGGTTTTCAACTTCACAATATTAGGCCAATTGCTTTATTAGAGATATTTAGAAAGTGTATCACCCCTTATTAACAAAGAGAATGGCTAAAGTTTTTGTGGAAAATGAGTTATTGTATAGCCCGAATTATGCAGGTTTGCCAGGTTGCTTAACAGAGGAGGCAATCAACTTAGTTGAGATAGTAGTTGAAGATGCTCATGACAGTAAAAAGGAGTTGTGGTTGATGCTCCAAGATATAAAGAAGGCGTACGACTCAGTGTCATTAAAAACACTTCATGCTGCATTACACAGAGTCAAGCTACTATCCAAGATAATTAGTTTTATTATCGAGCTGTTTAATGGAAAAAGAGTCAAGATAATTACTGAGTTTGGTTTTATAGAAGAGTTTAAGGTGGGTGATGGTATTGAACAAAGGGAGACGATTTCACCATTAATGTGGCAGATATTTAATGATCCATTGTTAAAAAACATTCAAGATAATGAGAAACTGTGGTATAAAGTTAGTTCAAGTCATATAGTAGATTTGCAGATGAATAGTGTAGATGTTAAAGTAATAAAACAAGCAGCAGTAGCATTCGCTAATAATACAACTTGGATTGCAGAATATAAAGTCCAAGTTGTACAAATAATGGAAATAGCATAGAGGTTCTTTAAGTTCAACGATATTCGAATAAACGGTACAAAGTCCAAACTCATAGTGATAAATTTGAAGTTGGAAAAGTGTAAAAGGTGGATCAAGGTAGATGGTTACAAGTTACAGGCTAAAAAGAAAAAAGCATTAACATGGCTATTGGGAGTTTGGATAAGTGCTAATTCACATGAAACCTTAGTAGTTAAAAAGGCAAAGAGTATTGTAGGTTACTTTGTAAGGTCATTAAAGTGTAAGAGCCTGTCTATTAGTCAACTAATTTACATAAATAATATGTGTATTGTGCTGAAATTAGCATATATATTACAGGCAATGAAAATAACTAAAGCAAGCATAGATAGAATATATTAG